CCGCCTAGAATGTCATTCCTTCAGATAAGGCCTTACTTCTTTCCATCCCCCCAGCATTCCACATTTTTCTTTTCTTGCTTTCTTTTCCCCGCTATGACTCACTACAAAGTTTATCTAGGTGTATAGTTTGTCTTCTCAAGAGGGCCCTGCTCATTGAGGCATCTTGGAGCCTAGAATGGCACCTGGAATATATTAGCTGCTCAATAATATTTGCTGAACAAGTGAATGGATGGACTTGCTCATCACTTTAGTCAAAGGCTGTCTCTCCTTTGCTCTCACTTCTATCAGGCATCTGGGATTTATCATATACCGCTGTGTGGTGGTGGTAGTTTAGTCATTAAGTTGTATCTGACTCTTGCAACATCACGGACTATAGCCTGCCAGGCTCCTCTGTCCAGGAGATTCTCCAGGCAAGAATACTGGAGTGGAATGCCATTTCCTTCTTCTCTGCATGTATCTATTATCCACCCACCTAGATCATGTGTTCCCATCCCCTCCAATTGCCCTGTACAAAATCAGCATTTAATAAATACTTGATGATGAATTATCAGTACAGTGCCTTCTTCTCCTGGGATAGATAGTTATAGTAATAACCTTTCAAAACATGACATTCCATTTAGAAAAGAGACATCCTGGAAAGCAAAGGGGAAAAAAAGAATATTTTTAATTTTTTTTTTTTCCGGCTGCACCAGGTGGCTTGTGAGATTTTAGTTCCCCAGCCAGGGATTGAACCATGGTTGAACCATGGCCCTTGGCAGTGAGAGCACAGTCATAACCTCTGGACTGCCAGAAAATTCCCAGAATATTTTAGATTACTCTTAAAAGGGTATAAGATATTTTAAAGGTATGTACAGATAATGCATATACACATACCAAATCTGTGTCATGCTCTGAAAACAAATTATTTGCTTTGTGACCTCCATGTATATTATATACTGAAGACATTCCTGAGAGTCAAGCTTAAGGTCACATTTGGATAGGAGGGTAATTTGCAGAAAACACAAGAGAAGGAAAAGACCTACAAAAAAAAATAAACCCAAAACAGTTAAGAAAATGGTAATAGGATCACACGTATTGATAATTACCTTAAATGTAAATTGGTTAAATGCACCAACCAAAAGACACAGACTTTACAGACTGAAGTAAGGGGATGGGAGAAGGTATTCCTTGCAAATGAAACTCATAAGAAAGCTGGAATAGCAATACTCATATCAGACAAAATAAGACTTTAAAACAAAGACTGTTATAAGAGACAAAGAAGACACTACATAATGATCAACAGTTCAATCCAAGAATAAAATGAAACAATTATATATGCACCTAACATAGGAGCACCTCAGTATGAGAAACAAATATTCACAAACATAAAGGGAGAAATCAACAGCAACCCAATAATAGCTGGGGACTTTAATACCCCACTGTCATCAATGGACAGATCATCCAGACAGAAAATCGATAAGAAAATGTAGGCCTTAAATGGATAGTAATTTGGAACACAGAACATATTTTAAATAATGAGTCAAGAATTTATGTAATATATCACAAAATTAAAAGGTTAATGTCAAATAGGTTTTATGGCATATTTTTTTATCTAGTATCAGTTCTAGTTGGGAAACATCTAAATTATAATGATAATGTGTCCTATAAAACAATTTATTATATAGAACTAAAGTCTTCATTTACATGAAAACTGTAACATCTCTCTCTACATTGTTCATTTTGCACTGCATATCCAATATGCATATTGTTAAAAAACAGTTTAGCCAACTTTAGGATCTTTTCAGTCATTTTTAAAAAATTATTTTTGGTTTTGCCTGCCTAAGTGTCTGCTGTGCATGGGATTTCTCTAGTTGTGACACAGGCTTCTCACTGAGGTGGCTTCCTTCTGGTACTGAGGCTCACCGGCTCTAGAACACAGGATCAGCAGTTGTGGCACATAGGCTTAGTTGCCTGGTGGCAAGTGGGATCTTCCTGGACCAGGGATTGAACCCATGTTCCCTGCATTGGCAGGTGGATTCTTAACCACTGAACCACAAGGGAAATCCAAATATTTATTTACTTTTATTTACTTGGCTGCGCCAGGTCTTGGTTGCAGCACAAGGGATCTTTAGTTGTGGCATGTGGGATCTAGTTCCCTGACCAGGGATTGAACCCAAGGTCCCTGCATTGGGAGCAGAGTCTTAACCACTGGACCATCAGGGAAGTCCCTATCTTTTCAGTCATCTTGACTGTAGCATATGCACAATTCATTTTGTGAATATTGGTGGGAAGATAAGTAAACAGACCCCTGCAAGACTTTTGGTAATTTCTTAATTGATTATATAGCTAATTTAAGCTTAGACTTTTAACAGTGCAAAAGAAAAAAGACTGTACAGTAATAATCTAGTACTCATAAAATCTACTAAAAAGACAAATCTTCTCTGGTATGCACAGGCATTTCACATAGCACAATGTCCATTTTACATTTCTAGATAAGTTAAGGCCCTCCCCACCCTTCTTTTTCAAACATAGTTCCTCAAATTTTATTTTTCTTTGAGTACTCTCTTTGGAAATTTACTTTCAGATTGTTTTACCTACATAATATATGTTGTAACAGAAAATTATTCGAAGTATATCACGTGACATAAAAAAGAGAAACAAGTAAAATACTTTTCAAAATGTGGGTGGGGGGGGACGACGACCCTAGAGGAGCAAAGAATTAGGGCAGTAGCTGGAGGGAGAAGTGAACAAAAGAAAAAAAAAATCAGTTATTGTTTACCTTTTAAACTAGACCAGTAAAGTGAAAAGAAATACCTAAAATAAATAGATCAGCAAGCCATCTCAAGGCTTATGGATAGAAACAATTCCAAACATCTCAAGGTGAAAATATTCATCCATTAAGTGTGATCACACCTGAAGAAAAGGGGCTGGCCTCTCATGGATCTCTCCAATCCTAAGATTCTCACAAATCTGAATAATCAGAATACAAATAGGTCAGTTTATTCTTACTTTTTATTTCTAAATATATTTCTTTGCATTTCTAGGAAATACCAGAGTTAAAAGAAATCTAATTATAGAAGCATTTTTATTTTAAATCCAAGGAGAAATACTTCCAAGTTAAAAGCACACCATCAAAACAACCTTTACTCAAGAATCAGGAGGGAATAAAACCTGATTTTGTGTGTGTGTGTGGATAAGTCTCTACACATGAAATGTAAAGAATCTGTCTGCAATGCAAGAGACCACCTATATTGTTATAACACTTTAAAATGTTATTCTAAGGAGAGTTGAATGCCAATTCTAAAATAAAAAACAAGAAACTAAGTAAACTGATTATCTTTTTAAAAAAAATACAATAAAAATCTGAAATACACTGCAAACAACTTTTAAAGGTAGGTGATTTTAATACATATAATAGCAGTCTTAATATTCCTTAGTTGTGTTTGAAATATTTAGTCTACATAACAAAATTTTGCAAGTCTCTCCCATATTACACTTACCACAAGATTTTGAAATTCTCTATCTCCCCAAATTAAGCTTACCACTAGTAAGTAGTGAAAGGGCTGGTTCTCAATGAGGGAGAGGGAAAATTCAGGTTAGTTCTAGTCTTCCATGAAGAGCTCAGGTACTACCTCAGACTGTACAGGGAGCCATTTAAAGCCCAAGAGCCGTGAGTCAGGCGGGGCGAACTAAAACATCCACAGTAAGATTGTTTCATCATCTTTTACTATTGTCCATCAGGGCTCAGCTTTCTCAGAGTCAAAAAGAAAAGGAAAAAATCCTTCTGACGCAGTATCTTACTGGCCTTAAATTCAACCTACAGCATGGCCTCTTTAAAAGAATGTTTCTTTATAGAGTGAATCATACTTTGTACATTTTAAATCCTTTCCCCCAAATCTGTACTATGATTACACTGACAGCATTCCAAGCAAGGGAACAACTTGAGCAGCACCATATCATGTTTAATTAAGGTTCTGAGTGTTCTCACTTCCAATCAGGAGTTTTGTTTAGTGAAAGATATGATTCATAATCTGATTGCTTCCAAGTATAGAGCTAAAATGGGCCCTATGTTTGATTCACCATGCTATGCAAATTGAAACTGAATTATCTGCAGAAGGAGCTCTGACCTAAAATCTGATCACTGACACAAGATTCTGGGTTTTTTGGTAACCATTTTTTTTTTAAATTTTTTTTTTTGGTCACCATTTTTAATTATCAACAAAACACTACCTTTTCCTATTTCTCCTACTGAAACAAAGGTCATCCAAGTTTAATTTTAGGACCCCAAAATATTTGAACTTGTAGGCAGTCATTTGTAGATAAAATTTCAACATGGTTTTAATACCAATGGCAAACTGTATGAGGTATGGACATGCAGTATATATTCAAACCCCACCTCTGCCCCTTAGTAACGTAACCTTGGGTAAGCTATTTATCATTTCTAAACCTGTTTCATTATCTATAAAATGGAGACAAACCTATCTACAGGGAGTTCTTTAGAATTTTATAATACTTAACACCCATCAGGGCCTGAAATAATATTAAGGTTTAACAACATTCTTTCTCTTTCCCCTATTTTCTTTCTAATCACAGGTTGGGACTCCATGTTTAATTTCTGATGATACTAGGAAGCACCATGGATTTCAGTTGAAAACTGAAATAAGCCTAAGCCTTTCCTAGAAAGCCCACCGTGTGGGTTTCCCAGGTGGCGCTAGTGGTTAAGAACCTGCCTGCCAATGCAAGAGATGCTAAGAGAAGAGGGTTTGATCCCTGGGTTGGGAAGATCCCCTGGAGAAGTGTACGGCAATCTACTCCGAAATTCTTGCCTGGAGAATCCCATGGACAGAGGAGCCTGGCAGGCTACAGCCCACGGGGTCGCAGAGTTGAACACAACTGAGCATGCATAGAAAGGCAATACTTTTCATATCTCATTCCCTCACATTCAGGATTTTTATTTCAGGTAAAATGAATGTTCAGTGTGTTTGCAAGATAAGCCAAAGAACCCACAAAAACAGAAAATGTTCAATTTTTCAACTTTATTAAAAAGAGATGTATAATTAAACACAACGACATAAATCAGAGTTGATTAGGAGTACAGGGAAGGGGAATCTGGGTTAAACATCCAGTGCAGTGAGGTTTCAGGTTTCTTCCTGAATGGAAGCACACACGAGGTAAGATCAGGCCCCTAGCTGCCTCTCCCCAAGACCTCTTTCTTCCACGTCCCCATCCCATTTTCGCTGCCAGTTCTGAGGCCTCCTGAGCTACACCACGCATGTACAACCGCCGCAGCAGAGCGGCCTTCCGGGCCCATTTCCATTCCATTCAGGTTCCCTTTTAGGGCTTTCCTTTAAAGGCAACACCTCCTTTCTTCTCTGTCTACATTCCCACTTCACCTTCATTTAACCACCCCCTCCCCCACTGTATTTTTCACTTTTACTCTAGAACACTACTGTCACGAGAGAACCATGCGATGCAGGTGGATTTGGTGTATTGTTTAATCCATGTTGCCTCCCTGCAACCAAGTACCACTCCTTTCCTCCATCTTCCCCCACATCTCACACATTTCGCAAATTTCTTCCCTTCAAACTCAAAACCTTTTGCCTCTGCCCCTGACAAATGACCTTGCGATCTTCTCAGGAAAGACCTCTATTCTGAATCCTATCATCCACCCTGCTCTCCTCTTATTTTACAGTTACTTTTTCTGTAGGCAATTTGGGGAACAGAGGAACCTTATGAAAAAGCGAGTAACAGCAGTGTGAGGAAAGAACAGAAAAAAATGAGGTTAAGGAGAGTGCTACAAAGTTCCACTTGGTATTATCTGAATTTCTAAAAAATGACCTTCCCTTATTTCTCTCCCTCTCCCTTTAACCTGACTTTCCTCTCACCCACAGCCATCAGAATGTACTACAAGTCCTTGCTGATTTCTATCTCTAAAAAAAGTTTTTATTTAGTTCCCATCATTCTGTTCTACCTGGTTGTCTAAGTAGTTAGCCAGCAAATGTTTACTGAGTGCCCAGCTTGCTTTAAATGCTCTGCTAAAGGCTTAGAGAAAGTCGGTGAACGGGGAAACGTAAGATTTCTCAGTCCTACTCCAGAAGCTCTGTCTATAGATGATTGTTTCGCCTACTCAAGTTTGGGACCATGATAGGAGGAGTTACTGTCTCTTAACTCTCAATAATTTGAGATATGATTTCTAAGTCTTTCTTCCATAGAACCTGGGTCCTCAGCATTGAGAGCACAGAGTCCTAACCAGTGGACCACCAGGGAACTCTTAAATTCATTTAATTGTGGTAAAACACACAAGATTTACCACTTACGTGTACACTTCATTGGCTCTAGGTACACACACACTATTATATTCGGTTGGCGAAAAAGTTCATTCTGAATATGTTGTTCAATAGTTCTCAGTGAAAATGAAAAACACGTTTTTTTTTTACTTAAAACCAAACGAACTTTTGGGCCAAACCAATAAAACCTATAGTCACGATCCAGCTCCAGAACTTTTCATTATCCCCAGCTGAAATTCTCTACCATTACGTCACTTTTTACTAACCAAAAGTTATTTTCATGGTTAAATTCTTGGCCCCCACTCCCATTATCTTGGTTCATCACTGTTACCCCCTTGCAACCACCCTCGAATCCCTGGCATCTCTCTTCCTATCACATCTGGGGGCAAAAATGCCAATCTTGGTTGAACTGATCACCTGGCTGCTTTTACTTCGCTTGTAATAAACAGTGGTGGTTAGCTGGTGGCAGAAAACCACACAACTAACTGGACTGATTGGTTTCACCTTAAATGCAGATCCCCGCCCCCCAATGTGCACCTAGGCATTCAGCAATGCCCAGCCACCCAATCGAGTATCACAATGAGTTCACTGTCCTGCTGTCCAAAGCGAGGTGTCCTCCTTCTCTCACACCATCCACACCCCTTCCTCTTCCTATCACATCTGGGGGCAAAAATGCCAATCTTGGTTGAACTGATCACCTGGCTGCTTTTACTTCGCTTGTAATAAACACTGGTGGTTAGCTGGTGGCAGAAAACCACACAACTGGACTGATTGGTTTCACCTTAAATGCAGACCCCCGCCCCGCAATGTGCACCCAGGCATTCAGCAACGCCCAGCCACCCAATCGAGTATCACAATGAGTTCACTGTCCTGCTGTCCAAAGCGAGGTGTCCTCCTTCTCTCACACCATCCACACCCCTTCCTCCTTTAAGATGCTGGCCCTGCCTCAGACTCCGCTGAGAGAACAGAAACCGTGAAACAGAAAGCCCTGTATTCCACCTCCAATTCCTAAACCTCTCTGCCTTCTCTCCTGCTACACTGCAAGTCATCCTGCTCCCACCAAAGACAAACCCTCTTGTATTCTGACTCTTCTCCTACTGAAGAATGTTGTTCCTTTGGCAGGAATTCCCTAGTGATCCAGTGGTTAGGCCATGCTGCTTTCACTACCTTGGCCCAGAGGCAATTCCTAGTTGGGGAACTAAGATCCCGAAAGTGCAGCGAAGGAAGGAGGGAGAGAAGAGAAGAGAAAGAATTCTGCTCCTTTGGTAGTCTTATCTCTCTTCTGCGTCAGTCTCCCTCTATTAGACAGTCTCGGTAGCTTATTGAAAATGCTCTTCTATTTCCCATCAGTTTTTAAAATGTGCTTCCTTGACCCCACCTCTCTCTCTCTCCAACTACTGCTGTACCATTTCTGTCCTTGCTTTATGGCAAAATTTTCCCAACAAGTGGGTCACATTTGCTTCACTCTCATTCTCAGTTCAGTTGCTCAGTCATGTCTGACTCTACGACCCCATGGACTACAGCACGTCAAGCCTCCCTGTCCATCATGAACTCCCAGAGTTTACTCAAACTCATGTCCATTGAGTCAGTGATGCCATCCAACCATCTCATCCTCTGTCGTCCCCTTCTCCTCCCACCTTCAATCTTTCCCAGCATCAGGGTCCCTTCAAATGAGTCAGTTCTTCACATCAGGTGGCTAAAGAATTGGCAGTTCAGCTTCCAATGAATATTCACCATCCAATGAATATTCAGGACTGATTTCCTTTAGCATGGACTTGTTGGATCCAACTCATGTCCATTGAGTCAGTGATGCCATCCAACCATCTCATCCTCTTTCGTCCCCTTCTCCTCCCGCCTTCAATCTTTCCCAGCATCAGGGTCCCTTCAAATGAGTCAGTTCTTCACATCAGGTGGCTAACGAATTGGCAGTTCAGCTTCCAATGAATATTCACCATCCAATGAATATTCAGGACTGATTTCCTTTAGCATGGACTTGTTGGATCCAAGGGACTCTCAAGAGTCTTTTCAAACACAACAGTTCAAAAGCATCAATTCTTCTGCGCTCAGCTTTCCTTATAGTCCAACTCTCACATTCATACATGACTACTGAAAAAACCATAGCTTTGACTAGTCAAACCTTTGTTGGCAAAGTAATGTCTGTGCTTTTTAATATGCTGTCTAGATTGGTCACAACTTTTGTTCCAAAGAACAAGCACCTTTTAATTTCATGGCTGCAGTCACCACCTGCAGTGATTTTGGAGCCCCCCCCGAAAAGTATTGTCTCTCACTGTTTCCATTGTTTCCCCATCTATTTGCCACTAAGTGATGATAGTGATCATCACTATGTGAAGCCATGATCTTAGTTTTCTGAATGTTGAGTTTTAAGCCAACTTTTTCACTCTCTTCTTTCACTTTCATCAAGAGGCTCATTCTCTCAGTGCATTCCAATTTGGCCTTCATTCCATGTGCCACTAAAACTACTTGTCAAGACCGCCAAATCCAAGTGGAATTTTTCTCTCCTCAGGATTTAACTTCTCAGTAGTATTTGGCACAGCAGACCACTCCCTTTTCTTGAAATAGATAAATTCACTCTCCTGCTTTAGTGCTGAGCCTCCTCGGTCTCCTTTGCACCCACTTCACTCACGGGAAAGTTTCAGGCTTGATCGTTAAGTCTTCTATGCTCACATATGACCTCAACCAGTTCCATGACATACCATCTCTATGCTGGTGACTCTCAAAATTTAAGTCCACTCCCTTCAGCTCAACTTGAACATTCACCGCCTGCTTGACTTTCCACTTAGGTTTTTGAAACACTTGTGAGACATCCAACGGGTTCCACATAGAACTCTAGTTACCCACCCCTCCCAGTCTTCTCTACAAGCAACTGGCACCACCAGCCACCAGGCCGTAAGCCAGGAACCTGAAGGAATCCTTTGATTCCTCCTCTTGTCCCTCCACAGACAACCCATGAAGCAAATACTCTTGATTCAACCTCCAAAATCTCTCTGAAACCCACCATCTGCTCTGCTCCATCTCCATGGCACTTGCCTAAGATACTATCAAACTTGAGCTGACCACTGCAGTAGTTCCCTAACTGCCCTCTCTGCTTTCTCTTGTTCCACAGAGCAGCCAGTGATGTTTAAAAACAAAAACATATCACTCCCCTAATGAAAGCCCTACAATAACTTCTCCTTTTCATTAAAATAAAATCCCCAAGCCCCTGTATGTCTTAAGAGGCCCTGCACAACTTCTCTAACTCCATTTCACTGCATTCTCCTCCTGCTTCTTTCTGTTCCAACATTCCTGTCCTTCTGGACCTTTCAGGGCTTTGTACTTGTTCCCAGGCCAGGAATGTCTCCCCAGCTTTGCACAAGGCCAACACAAGTTCATGTGTCAAGTGTTAGCTCAAATGTCACCTTTTCACAGGGACACTCCTTGACTCTTCCTAGCCAAAACAATACACTCTTTCCCCCATAACACACTCTTTTGGACCCACCAGCTTATTAACTTCTTATAAGTTTTTTTCTTAATCCTTAATTACCTTGATTATTTGTGTTTCCTTATTTCCTGTTTTTCACACTACACTACAAATTTCATGAGGGCAGAGATCTTGTCTGTTTTGAATTCTACTGAAGGCTACTTGAAAATAAAGCTACTCTTTCCCTCTGAGCAGGCTGATTTTAGATCCACGCCCCCCACCCCTTCAAGCTTTACTGGATTTTAGTCAAAATAATTGCTGTGGCATTTACTCCATGAAAAACAAGCAGAGAAAAACCACATGGGACAGTCAAATACTAGAACTCCACCCACTCACTAGCCTAGACAACGGGACTGCACACAGGTATCCGCAGTGGCCCCTTACAAAGCTCTTTAAAATGTAGGACAGAGAAATGTGGATATAAGAAAAAACAATATAACTCTGACACCTGCATCAAAGGTTTCAACCTTTCCCCCTAGCAATCACTTAACACAACAGTGATTTCAGAAGAAAGAAAAGCACAAAATAACTCAAATATGTGATCTTTGCTCCAGAGAAGTTAATGATTTCCTGACCTGGTTCTCTCATTTTGGTCTGGCTGGCTAGTCATTATCTGCTCTGGATGTTTCTTTCTAACCTACCGTGTTCTTAACGCATATTCTGTTTCTACCAAGTCTCATGTTTAGAATAAGTTCCCCATCCTACTTTCCAAAATGCAAGAAATATCTTCTCAATTTAAAATTCAGAAAAGAACTCGTTCTTTCAAGGATTTATCTCTAGGTTTTGATTTCAGGATATCTTCTATCCTACTTCTAACTTCTGTATTTCCTAGATTCAATTCTATTTTTGTTCCAGAGCTATCTTGACTAAATTAGATGGCCTGGCTAGACGTGAAACCAGTATGTTATATAACTTCTCAGGAGAATGAAGCTATATATGTATTTTAAAATGTACTAAGATTTCAAAGTCTTGGGATACCTAAGATTTCTTTCTGTAAGGAAAGAAATTTTGATAAATGGCAGAGGCAAAAAATAAAAATAACGTTAAGCAATAAAATTATGCTGAAACTCAAAATGATATGAACCTCAAGTCTCATGCTCCAATTCAAAAGATAGCCAGCAGCACAGTGCATAGTTTAACACAGGGATGCTCTGAATACGTCTCTGGGTCACAATGAAGTCGCCTGGAGAGCTTGGAATAACACAGAGTCCTACATATTTAGATCCAGGCGATCCTAGATGAGCAAGAATTTCAAAATTTTTGGAGGGAGTTACAAGCATCAAGAAATGGAAAGTCAGAAACTTAAAACTGAGAGTGTCCAATACATCAGACCATTTGAAAAACCCCAACTGTCCCTAACCAATAATGGATATTACAAATCTGCATTTTAAAAACATCTCACCAGTTGATTCTGATGCTCAGATTTGGAAATTAGATACAGAGCCAAGAATAGGGCTTCTGGGACCCACTGTCAATTCTATCACTTAAAACTTTGAGCCTGTGAACAATTCAACTATCTTGGCAAACATTAGTAGTTCCTTCCCTGGTAAGTAGATATTAAAAACCAATACTGCAGGGCTGATATAATAAATAGGAATTAAAAAACACCAAGCACAGTTCCTGGCATACGACAGTGTTCAGCACAGGGTAGGTCTTAAAGGGCCTAAAAGCATCCACCACAGTGACTGTAAACACAAGGACATACCTAACGGTGCCACTATGTTACTTTTATCCACTAGAAATTAACTATTTACTTTCCATCTAGACCCCTAAAAAGATCAGAGCTTTACAGACTCCTCCCAAAAATCTTTTCAGTAACAAAAACAAAGTTAAAAACCCACACACCCATTGTTATACTGCTACTACAAGACAGCTAAGTATTTTTATGAATGCTTCTAGGAAACATTTTAAACAAAAAGTGGGGGAACTGAGAAGTCTTAAACTGATTAGAAAGATATGAACCAAAACAGTACCACCACCCCCCCCCCACTTTTTTTTTAAAGGAAAAAGTATCCGGGGTGTTTCAAAGCGAGTTTAATTTTTCAGATCAGCGGTCTAAGAAACTACCGTCATTTACTACCATTTGTAACAGAAAGGAAGTTTCAAACCACTGGAACCCATTACCTTCCCACAAATGTAACAACCAGAGAAAAGGTTGTCCAGGATTGTGAAAATACAACCAAGAAAACTAGCAGGGGACCCATGCAGAACCACGATACTGGAAGGCAGACAGACACTCTCCTCGACTTTTTTCCTGCAATTCTGCAACTGGGTTTGACTCTCCTCTCAAAATGACGTGGAAGAGGGCGAAGGGAAAGCCTCCATGATCTGCCCCCAGCCAGGCCAGGAAAAGCAAAGTCTTCCAGGTTCAAGCCCTAGGAAGACATGGGGAAGCCTTCATCTCGTCTTGACTGGGGCTGGGGGTGGGATGCGGGTTTAAGGAGAGATCCCTCGGCTGCAAGGCCCGACTCTCAGTTTTCCCTCAAAGGCAAGTGGTAAAAGGAACAAGACGCCGCGGTCCCCAACCCCTTCCCGCTCTGAGCCGGCGGCCTACTCTTTCGGGTCTGGGGGCACCGGGAAAGACCAGACTACTCCACCCAAGGCCCACATACAGACTTCGGCCCGCGGAGCGTGGCCCCCACGTCCCGGGCCTCCCAGCGCTCGGGCCGGCGAACCGTCCGAGAAGGGCGCTGCCCGTGCCGCCGGGGAAGATGGCGCCCGCAGAGCAACTGCGCCACCACCACTGGCGAAGGGCCAGGCCCAGCGCCATCTTAGCGCCTTCCAACCGCCCCCTCCTCCCCGCCCCGCACAACCCCCGCAAGAGCCTGCGTCCCGGCCGGTCGGGGGGCGCGAAACGCGATGAGCTCGCGCACTCTCAGCCGAAAGAGAGTGCCACCGAGCCTCTCGTCTCTTCGGACCGGCCGCGCGGGGCCCGCAGGAGGAGCCCGGCTGGGCCGCCGGTCCTCCGCGCGGCGCGAGGGTGCCTCCCTCCCACCCGCTCCCCTCCCCCTCTCGAGACGCGGGGTCCATTTTGCCGAGAAGAAAGAAAATGCGATTCACACCCAAGA